CCAAGGCCACAAAATTTGACAAGCTGCACTTTTTCTTTTGCTCAATGATTTCTGCCTTAAGCCAAAGAATTGCCTATAATTTTACTAAGAATGTCTTCTAATTCAGATACTGGAGATTTACGAGAGTCTTTAAAGCATGGACTTACACCTATTGGTAAGTAGTAGTTGCTCTATTGATCATCTATTTATTCTGCTATTACATTAATACATATATTTAATCTCACTGATAGATTTTGCATTTTCAGTCACAGCTTTTCCTATTAGGTTTATTAAAAGCACATAATAAGCCAATGTATATATATTGCACATTTATCTTTCTTGCAGTTCAAAAAATGCAAATGGATATTTTAACATATAAATATTATTCATTATATCTAGTGTTTACTGGTGTCATTCTATTAGCCTAAACAGCCAGAAAATATAATTTATAATTTATCAATTTCAACCTTAATATTTTCTGTGATTTTTAATCAGAAATAATAAGCTAAAATTTGAACCATTTGAAACAAGTTAGTCATATTGAATGATCATTGATCAAAGTTTAACACATAGGTTTCAAGTATTTGTTACTTTGCAAGCCAAACAAAAGTAGGGTGTCTCATTCTCTGTTTACACTGTAAAACATTTTCAATTTAATTTTCCTCGTGAATGAAAGTCATGCCCCCTCCACAAAAATATATAAATAAATAAATAAATAAATAAATAAAACCCAAAAAACTAGGCCATCATTAGTAAAGGATTTGAAGTTAAGAGCTACTGGTTTTCGCAATAATGAGTATATTTTGTTTTTACAAACAGAAATAAGTAAATAAAACTACTTTTCATTTATAAAATAGAGTTACGAACTCGTGAATTTTATAGCAAGACTGCATTCAATTAATCCTAAAAGTAAAGGAGTAAAGGGATGTGATTCCCAGTGGTCTGTAATTATCTGTCTGTTGGCAATCATGCCCTTCTTCCTTTCCCCAGTTTTTGAAGGACCTATGCCTTTTCTTGTAGCACTTGCCTAGTCTTTCGGATCGGAGTTTCCCTCCGAATTTGGAGGGTTCTGTCTTGAGCTTTGAATCTCAGCTCCGTTGTAACATGAAAGAAAATCAAGGCTTGAGTTTTCGTCTTTTTTCCTTCCTCGTCAGCTGACTCCACAGAACGCAGTGACTGCTTTTTTTATGGGCCACCTACACCCTAAAGTGTATCACTTGAGGAAATGTTTACCAAAAACGTTCTGTACTTACGAACAAGAAAACACGGGGAAGGCAAGCGGGGTGTAACGCAGAATCAACTGCTCTGCAGATAACAGAAAAGACAGGCACAGGAAAGACGAGAGAGAAGCACAGAGCGGCCTCGCTTCTCCTCCGTCCGGCAGACCCGCCGCGGGCTGGGCGAGGCGTCCCTCCCGGGAGCTCCGCGCGGCTCCGGCTCCGCGTGGGGGGCAAAGCTGGAGCGCGCTCGGGCCGGAGACGCGGACTGCGCGCGCGCACGGGGGACGCGCGCTCCGGGGTTCGCGCCCTCGCGGGCGGTCTTGGGCTCCCGCTGCGCCCCCCGCCCCTCCGCCGGCCGCCGCCAAAATAGAGTCGAGCTGCGTCGGGAGACCACACACGCCGGTCCCCCGCGGTCTCCCCCAGACCCCACGGGTGAATGGGGTGAGGTAGGGGGAGGAGACGCTGTTGCGCTTCTCCCTCCCTCCGTGGGAAAACTGCGTTTCCACCGACCGCACCCGCGACTCACCGCGCTCGGGCCCGAGGCGGGTACGCTCTGAGGGTGCACAGAGCACCTGCAGCGCTGGGATCCGTCCCACCGCAGAGGGCCGGGAACCCGAAGACTGTCCGTCCCGCCCGTGAGGGGCTGCTGGGGACTAAACATCAAGAAAAGTGCTCTCCCCTGGCCTCAGCGAGCCTACCCCAACATCCTAAACTACTCTGCAAGCGTTTCCGGGCACCGGAGTCCGGGATAACTACATTCCAGTCAATTTCCCGGTAAAAGAGACCTCTTTCAGGATCCTGTTCGCAGCCACCCGCCCCTTCCCGACCCAAGCACACTCCCTTCGCCTCCTGGTATTGCAGCCCCGCAGGTGATTGTGACATGTCCGCATCTACAACGTCTTAGTGACCCGGAGGCGGCTGCTGGCACCGAGAGACCCTCTGTCTACCTCGTAGCCTCCACGAGGGTGCTGACGGTCGTTCCCAGGGTGCATGGCTGGGCAGAGCCATCAGAAGGGCTGAGGGAGAGGAAGAGAGGGCGGTGAGGAGCCCTCAGACTGAACTGTTGGATTGAAGGGCCTGACCCGGATTCCTGGTGGGTCTTTCTGATGGCCCAGGGCAGGCCTACTGAGAAGAACCCACTGCTGCAGTTGTACAGAGTGCCTGAGGGTCTCGGGATAGCTTTCAGATGGCAAATTGCAAGTTGGGTTGGGGGCTAGGGAGTGGTTCACAAGACTGAGCTCGGTGGGTGTAGACATCAGTCAGGGTTTACAATTCTACATTTAATTCACTTGTGTTGTACCAGGAAATGGGCCTCCTTTTGTTTAAAAAGCTGTCTCCATGTGTTTTGTTGTTGTTGTTGTTGTTTTGTGTGTGTGTGTGTTTTTTGGTTTTTTTTTTGAGATAGAGTCTCTTTCTGTCACCAGGCTGGAGTGGAGTGGCAATCTCTGCTCACTGCAACCTCCACCTCCCAGGTTAAAGCGATTCTCCTGCCTCAGCCTCCCAAGTAGCTGGGAACACAGGCACGCCACCACGCGCTAATTTTTGTATATCTAGTAGACGCGGGGTTTAACCATGTTGACCAGGATGGTCTGGATCTCCTGACCTCGTAATCCACCTGCATCGGCCTCCCAAAGTGCTGGGATTACAGACAGGCGTGAGCTACCACATCCGGCCAGATGGAAGTTTTTTATAGATGTCTGTGCTTGTATAGAAAAGCAGAATTAAGATAAAGTTGTTCCTTCTGCCTACCTGCAAGATGATCATTCACTGTAATGTAAAAGCAGCACACTCAAGTGATAACCAGACTGTCCCCTTAAAGGTAACTAGCTTTGGGACACTGGCCAGACTTGGTTTCTGGTCTCTGTTTTCTTTTCTCCCACCTGGGATGATTCTATTGAATAACATGCAGTACTCACTTAAGAGGCTTTTTATACTTACCTATATCAAGAAAAGAGCCACATCTGGGCTGGGCGGGGTGGCTCACGCCTGCAATCCCAGCACTTTGGGAGGCCGAGGCAGGTGGATCACAAGGTCAAGAGATCGAGACCATCCTGGTCAACATGGTGAAACCCCGTCTCTACTAAAAATACAAAAAATCAGCTGGGCATGGTGGCATGTGCCTGTAATCCCAGCTA